GGTAGTGTACTTAGAAGCAGAGAGACTAGAGTTCAAATGCGACCTCAGAGGCTTACTAGCTGTGTGATCCTGGGCAATCACTTAACCTTATTGTGCCTCAATTTCCTCATTTGTAAAGTATGTATAAGGTAGCACCTACCTCCCAGGGTTGTTGTGAAGATAAAGTGAGACAATATCACTTTATAATGCTTAAAGTGCTAAATAAATGCTAGCTATTACTACTACCACTACTACTACTACCACCACCACTACTACTACTACCAATACCACAACCGCTATTACTACTATCAACACCACCACCACCACCACCACTACTACTACTATTACTACTACCAACACTACCACCACTATTAATTACTACTAGCAACACTACTACTACTACTACTATTATTACTACTACTAACATTACAAGAAATAAGAAAAAAATAAGGGGCAGAGCGATTACAAAACTAACAGTGTTCAAAGAAAAGAAAACTCTATGGGCAAAAGTAGTAATAGAACATTTATATAGTACTTTTCATTTTGCAAAGTGTTTTACATATATTAACTCATTGTATCTTCAAAACATCCCCGAAGCTAGATTTGAGTTCATGTCTTCCTGACTCTAGGTCACTTAGCTGCCTTGTAGTAGCTGCTTCATAAATGTTTCTTAAATTGACTTGTTAAGTTCTGTCTGGACTTAGAGGGACCAAAGGATGAAATCTCTAGAGAAGTCAATTTTACCCTAACATAAGGTAGTAGTAGTAGTAGTAGTAGTAGTAGTAGTGGTAGTAGTATTAGTAATAGCAAAAACATCCTAATAATTAGACCTGCCCAAAGTGGGATTGGACTGCTTTGGCAGGGAGTGGGTTTCCTAGTACTAGATATGCTCCAGTAGAAACTGTGTGATTGTATGTCAAGGATTAAGGAGATCCTTGCAGTCCTTTCTGCACCTAAGATTCTGAGTCAAAGACGAAAGCAGGATACTGAATTTCTATTAGTTATTTTCTTTCTGGAAAGCCTTAAGTCCATGATTGAATGTACCTGGATAACCGTCAACACTCATAAATCAAACGTTTTAGAATATGTTTATGGCCAACCTAGCTGAGGTTAGAAAGGTCCACCACCAAGGAGACCACAGAATTGTATGTGCATATATTTTTGCACTCAACAAGTACCAAAGACTATTTACTAAGTAAGAGAGGGCTTTGGTGGATGTGGTACATCTAGCCACCAAAGTACTGCTCCTTGAATATCGAAAAAAAGAACATATGAGCAGATGAAAATGCAGTAAAGAGGATGGCTGCCTTCCAATCCAACTCATGGCCTCAATCCAACAGGTAAAGCCCAAGGCCTTATCTTTTAACTTGATTTCTCCAAAAACCAGTTGCTTCTGTCTCTAAACAGTAGCTTCCCACCTGCTTCTTAATTATGTTTCTCCCTTTCTGGCAACAGTTGCTGCCACCATTTTGGCTCAGAACATGAAGTAAGCAGACCTCAGGTTCTCCCACTACTTGATGGTAATAAAATCGTTTCTTAACAAATAGTTAATGTAAAAACTGTGCAAGGTAATAAATAGACCCTGAATTCCAGATGGCACAATGGCTGAATTTAGATTGAATGACAAGCTACTGTACTTTCTGTTTTTCACAGGAAGGAAACACACACACACACACACACACACACACACACACACACACACACACAGAGGAGGTTCCAAAACCAAAATGTGGTTTTCTCTCTCTCCCCCCTTCAGCAACTAAATAAAATACTCATGGAAGACAGGTGATACCATTTTCTTTTTTTAAAGATGTAGGTCATTGGTAAGGTTTATTTTAACTAGAAGAAAGGCAAATATAATTTATGATGGAAAGTGAAAGCCTTCATCCATTTAGTTGCCCCATCTCATGGGAAGGGGAGAAGGAACATAATGGGAGAGTATGCCTGTGTCCCTTTAGCTTCTTAAGAAGCATTATTTTAACTTCAGTCACTCTCTTACTAATGGGTTTGTTTTCATTGTGACAACTTTATGTTTTTCTTCCTTGATTATGGGTTTCTGTTTATTGGTTTCTTCAGGGATTGGTTTGTTTCTTAAAAAAAAAAAAAATCCTCCTTTTTCCTTGATAAACCAGCTTGGGAACAAATCTAAGCTGAATGGTCTTTTCCATGTTACTCAGATATAGTAAAATCCAGGTATTGGATTTCAACCTGTTTGTTTTTTGATTCTATGATTATAATTTCTTCTCCAGAACCTCATATCATTCATCGCATTACATCAAAGCAAGATAATTTAGAACAAGAGTTCTTAAACCTTTCTTGTGTCAGGGACTCCTTGGATGATCTGGTGGATCCTATGGATACCCTTTTAGAATAATGCTTTTATTGTAATTAATTAATTTTTAGTTTTCAACAATCACTTCCATAGGCTTAGAATAATGCTTTTAAATGCACAAAATAAAATACATAGGATTACAAAGGAAACCAATCATATTGAAATATAGCTATTAAATATAGTTCAAGAACTTCTGGCTTAGTACTAATATTTTTTTTAAAAAAGATGTTATTAAATTGTTGTTTACAGGGTTGGTAAGTTGTTGTCAGGGTAAAATACCTGGGGAATAGTGTGGTACGGTGGAAAGAGCAAAGAATTGGGAGTAGGGGGACTTGAATTCAAAAGCTGCTTTTGTCACTTACTACCTTTGTGACACTGAACGAGTCATTTCAATTCACTGGGCCTTGGTTCCTTATCTGTAAAAAGATAAAGTTGGACCTCTGAGGTCCTGTCCACACAGAGGATGATAATGCTATATATGACCCTACGTGAGTCCCTTCCTCTCTCACTGCTCAGTGTCCACATCTGTAAAATGAGACGCTTAGACAGCATGGACTCCAATCTACTAGGCTACACAGCAGATAGCAAAATGTGGCAGATGTCAGAAAGGCTCTGAGTCCAAGCCTCGCAATGGACTGATTGTACATTTGCTATCTTAAGAATAACCTAAATAAATCTAGTGAAAATCATTAGCAGAGGCTGGCCATTTGTCTACAATATTTGATCCAGAGAAACTTATGAAAACAAAATGTACCAAGACACGGAGCATTTCTATCTATATCAATATTGGAAGTACCAACATTGAAAGGTAGTTTGGTCTGGCTGGCCTTGGAGTCAGAAAGACCTGAATTTAGATCTTGGTGTTTATTAGCTGCGGTATGACCCTGGCATATTGTGTAACCTCCCAGGGCCTCAACTTCCTCATAAACATGAGGTTAATAATAGCATTTACCTCCCAGGTTGGTCAGGAAATTAAATGAGTTCATATATATAAAATTCTTTGTAAATCTTAAAGTAAGGTATAATGTTAGTTATTATCTGGGGTGTGCTGGTAAATGTTTAATGATTGACTCTCTGAAGACACACTTTTAAATTTAATCTGTACTATTAACATTTTCTTCATTGTTTCCTTAAGTCTAGACAATCTACCAAACAATAAATCAAGTCTATTTGAAGATACTCACACTTAAAATTTAACAATGGCTCTAACGAGCCACTATGTACTGGTTCCAGTATACCCCTGGTTTTTATTATCAATGAATTGTAGCATTATTATTATTTTTACATATTGAAGAGAAATAATATGCTATAACTATAGTGAACTGTGGCATAATTGGGATGGAGGGGAATGCTCTCACTATGGAATTCAAGAACTTGGGTGAAACTCTTCTGAGAACTGTCTTAGAGACAGGTTAAATAATTCATAGTCTTTTAGGTAATAACCATTTATTCAGCCCTTACTTTGTGCCTGGCACTTTGCTAAGCACTGGGGATACAAAAAGAGACAAAAGACAGTCTCTGCCCTCAAGGGGCTCACTGGTCTCAATGTATTATGGACATACATCAACTTTGACCCCAGGTGTTCTCTCTTGGCCCTAACACTGATCATATTCAACAGTCTGAGTTCTAGATTGCTTTCAGCTGTGGTTAAAGTTTTCTCAAAGAGTGGGGATCCCACCTCTGGTTCTTTCCCCTTTGAAACAGGCACTGAACATCAATCCCAGAACCTTAGCTTCATCTGTAAAATGAGTTGTTTGGATTTAGCAGCCTCTGAGGTCCCATCTGGCCTAGATATAGGATCTTATGTATGTATTTGAAGAGATATTTTTAGAACTAGAAAGAGTTTAGAGCAGAGGTGGGGAACCTGTGGCCTTGAGGCCACACACGGCCCTCTAAGTCCTCAAGTGTGGCCCTTTGACTGAATCCAAATTTCACAGAACAAGCAGGTTCCCCACCCCTAGTTTAGAGATCACCTTGCCTCTCCCTTTCTTTTTTAAATGTACAGTTGAGGAAACATACCCACAGAAATTAAATGACTTGATTGAGGCCACACAGTGAGTTAGCGATTAAACTAGAAAGAGAACCGAACCCTCATCTTAGAGTTTATATCATTCAAGAACACTGAGTATATGTTTAGACTCACCCTTCTTATTTTTAGTATTGATACGTTCATGTAGAGTAACCTTAGGGTAGAGGTCTGTGAGTGATGATACCTTTCCCATCAGCTTACTCTGGGCATTTAGGTTTTAAGAGGTGGTTTTATGTGTGTGGGTGGTGGGGTTTGGGACAGGCGGAAATGGCAAGGCAGTAAAACATCTTCAAATGAAAATATAATCTCTAATTGAAAGCCATATGAGAGGAAGGTGAAGGAGTCCAATTTATCTGAATGATATAATAACAGGTAAGTGGGCTAAGACTGAAAGTTCAATCAAGGCCATGATGATAATCCTGGAAAGTATTATCTCATTTAAAATGCCATTTTGCTGATTAAAGAAATCTTCAGAAGTTGGGAGGCAGAGTAAGGCAGTGAAAATGAATGGGTCTTTTGAGACCCACCTAGATTAGAAAGAAAACATTGTCACCATGTACCTTAACCAAGAACAAGAAAAGAAAAGGGGGGTTTTAGAATAAAGTTGAAAAATCAATCAATAAACACGCTTTTATTTATTTATCTTTGTTTTTATTTTTAAAAAATATGGAATGCTTCATGAATTTGCATGTCATCCTTGCACAGGGGCTATGCTAACCTCTTCTATGTCATTCTAATTTTAGTTTATGTGCTGTCAAAACGAGCTTTAAACATGATTTTATCAATAGTTTTACTATGTGCCAGTCACTATGCTAAATGCTGGGAATACAGAAAAAGTAAAAAATATAATCCATGTCTTCAAAAAATTCATTTTCTACTAGAGGGAGAAATACGTACAAATAACTATATATGTAGAAAATCTATTTAAAAGCCAGTCTTTTCCAGGCAAGTAAAAAAGCAAACAAAAAATTAGCATCTCCAATACAATGAGGTCATGCATTGGATACCTCCCTGGAGATAGTAATACTACTATACTACTAGTACTACTAGTACTACTAGTACTACTAGTACTACTACTACTACTACTACTACTACTACTACTAGCTAACATATGTGTGTGTATATATGTATGTATGTATGTGTGTGTATATACATATGTATATATGTGTGTGTATAAATCTATATCTGTATCACTTTAAGGTTTGTGAAGCTCTTTATATTACCCTCATTTGGTCATTTGGTCCCCACAACAATCCTGGGAGGTAAGCATTATTTTTATGCACATTTTATAGATTAAGAAACAGTCTGAGAGACATTCAGTGATTTGCCCAGGTTAACACAGCTAATAAGTGTCTGAGACGAGCATCAGACTCAGGTCTTCTTGACCCCAAGTCTAGACCTCTGTCCATTGCAGCTTACCTCAGAACAGAGTTACAGAAGGGTGCCCCGGCACACAGGAGGTATTGTTCTCCAACTCAGTGGATAGCATCTATTGAGCAAGGAGATATTTAAGCAGTTATAGTCATACTAGAATTGCTTTTGATTATTCCTCGAGGTTTTGAAACTTGGGCACTCAAGAGGGCACAGTGAGGACCAAAACTCATTCATTGATTTCATCCAGCAAAAATGCTGAGTGCATGGGAACCGAGAGATTAGTAAACAGAAATGCGTGATATATTAAGAAAAGAGCAACTCAGTTACAAAAGGACCCAGGAAGGAAATGTTGGAAGTCTGATAAGCCTTAAATTGAGGACTGACTGACTGAATGAGCTCCTCTGAGACCAAGTGACACAGCACAATTTTGGGAGTCTTAGGCAACCTGGACCTGGGGAATTACTCTGGAATCTCACTCCCCTCTTCCTGACACCGATCAGTTTCTGGGTCTTGTCAGTTTCCTCCTCATAAGGTCTCTCACATCTGTCCCCTTCTCTCCACTCCCAGAGACACTGCTCTGGCTCAGATCCTCCTCACCTCTCACTCGGAACCCTTGAATATCCTCCTAATTCATCTCCCTGCAGTCTCTCTTCTCTCCAATCCAACTTTCACAGTTACTGAAGTAATTTTCCCAAAGCATGTCCGATCATGATCCTGTGAAACTCCTCTGCTGAAAGGGTTTCAATGACTTTCCATTGCTTCTAGGATAAAATACAAACTCTTTGGCTTGGCATTTTGCCCCATTTTTCATTTATTGGTGTCTTACTTTCATGCATATGTGTATAGATATACATATATATGTATATGCCCTAAATGTATTCCTTCCCCCCTCCTTTTCACATTAAGTCATCCATCCATTGTAACAAATGAAAAAAGAAGATAGGAAAAAAATCATTTAAGCAAAACCAACACATCACCGAATTCTGGCAGTACATGCAGTGTTCTACACCTACAATCCACCACCTCTGCAGAGGAGGAAGGAAATTGTGTCTTCTCATCTCTGCTTTGGTAATAGCACCATGTTACTTAAAGCCCTCCAGAGTCTGGCTTCAGACTGCCTTTCCAGACTTATTACTCATCATTCACCTGTAAATACTTTGTTCCAGTCTAATTGACCTGTAAATACTTTGTTCCAGTCTAATTGACCAACTTGTTATTTCCCCAAAATTGCCCTCCACCTCCATTCCCCAAACCTGCACTCTGAACCTCCCACCCTCGAGACCAAAGGTTGAACTGTTTTACTCAGGGTCACAAAGCCAGTGTATGCTAGAAGCAAGATTTGACCCCAGGTCTTCTGGACTCCAAAACCAGCCCTCTAACCGTTATACTACACGGCTTCTCTTCTTTCAAAGAACCAGTCATTGGTGATTGATTTCTGAGTATCCATTGTGACTTCCCTTCCTTCCTTCCTTCCTTCCTTCCTTCCTTCCTTCCTTCCTTCCT